TCAAAACGCGTCGCGTTATTGGTTATTACGTCAGCAAAATACCGCCTACCTCGTCTTGAACGAAGATCCTTCCTGAACACGAAAGTAGTTCTCGTCAAAAACTCGAAGGAAAAACATCGCAATCTCGTCAAGTGTATCGTGTGCGAGAAATAAAATTCAACCTTACAACAATCCTATGAATTCTCTGAATTCTTAATTCCTCTACACATTACGTCGCGACTCGCACGTAACAACTGGTGGCAGCGGTACCGAACCATTTAAGAAGGTTGAAGCATCTACCAACACCTTTGTTTTGCCAACAAGACTGAGTCAATGAAACAAAGCACGAAGGAAGAGAACACAGTCAATCAAGATTAAAATGAAGAAAACTTCGCAATCTAGTAGAAGATTAAAGTCTGGTTGACGATTATTGTTCCCACTTGACGAAGGCGACAATAGGCACGATTATTCTTCATAATTGTACGATTTGGCTACCTATAGTCCGATGAAACCCTGGTAAATTGTGGCATAAAAGCAAAAAAAAAATCACTTGAGGTAAAAGGCATTAAGGAGCCGATACGTCGCAAACGGAAACTCTGCAGTGGGCACGGAAAAGAACCACGAGACATCCCGGAACGAAAGCAAATATCCTTTCGAGACAACGCCGACGGCAACGACGAGACTCCGTAGACAACCGACACGTAAAAAGGACTTCATTGAACGACGGCATCCTGAACAATCTCATCGAACGACGAGATTCTGCATTAGCGATGAATATTTCCCGGACAACCACGTGTTACGTTCTGCTGTTACTGTAAGTCTTACGAAGTCATATGAGTTATAAAAATTTCAAAGCGCACTATAATACAGATAGTTCCGAAAGTAGTTATATAAATAATAGTTTCGAGTCCGATATATCTTTGAAAGAAAAACCGATAATTACGAACGATCGAGCGTCATCACTAGTACACATTATGGATGAACCAAGCCATACCCGTGATCAACAAAGTCGAAGATCTTCTACTTCGACAAGCAATAGTTATTTTTCTGTTCGTCATAGCTTATCACTCTTGCCGGTCTTTAATGGTACGAATGTTCCGGTACATTAATTTACATCTAACTTTAAAGGAGTCCTCGAATTAACTGAACCAGAAGAAAGATTATTTTTCTTTAGAGTTGTTTTACAAACTAAATTAACAGGAGACGCTGCGTTAATTAGGTCAATATATACCATAACGAATCCCGACGAATTATGTAGCGCGTTAGAAAAAGAATTCGGTAATTTCAAATCTTTTGATAATTGGGAATTGGAAATAAATAATCTCAGATAGCATAGAAATGAATCCTTGGAGGAATACATTAATAAAGTAAGAAAATTAAATTCTGAAATGATTGTCGCGATTTCTAACTACCCTGATCCGACGGCAAGAACAGGACTAAAAGTATTTGCTATTAATAAATTAATAGATCATTTTATAGGCGGATTGCGTAGACATATAGGGCAACATCTTTTAGTGCAAAAATTTAATACTTTAGAAGACGCGATAGAAAGTACTGTCAGAAAATCTCAATATCATACAGACAGACTTAAATTTAATAATCACAATCAATCAAATTATGTAACTTGCAATTATTGTAAAAAGATCGGTCATTCCGAAAACGAATGCAGGAAAAAATATTTTAATATGCAAAACCGAAATACAAACTCAAATTTTCCACACAATAACTATCGCTATAATAATCGCGAATTTAATACTGTGCAAAACTTTGACAATAATTCAAGATCCAGATTTAATAATAATAATAGTAATACACAA